CCTTGATTGAGTGATCCGGAGTTGTCCAGATTGAAGCTATATACCACATCATAGAGAAGATAGATGTATTAATGGCTAATGCGCGACCCAGCATTGAAGTAAACGTGTTCCCCCACCTGCCCAGCTTGTTGATTTGCTTGGAGAGTATATTTTGGGCCATTTGAGGGGCAAAGCCTTCCTTAGTCATCAGAATGTGCAGATATCGCATGGGGGTATTAGGTGTTTCCCAAGTCATGGCTGCTTCCCGGCCCTGAAGCTGAGGGACCTCTTCCTCGGATAGCCACCAACAGATTGTTTTTTTCCAGTTGATTTCCATTTCCGATGTCAGAGTGAACGCTTCCATAGCTCTTACTAACGCTCCAAACGACGAGTCTGAGGCTCGTATGAGGACAGTGAGATTGTCTGCAAACATTATTACAGTCGGAAACTGTAAGTGATGAGCTGATCCTGCTTTCACCTCTGGTAGCCTGTGTATGGAAGGATCTTTACGTAGGAATGATGCTGTTGCCTCCATGAAAAACAGGAAAATTGGAGGTGCTAGGGGATCCCCTTGGCGACTGATCGTGGAATTGGGTTACAATCTGACAGCAAGCCATTGACTTGGACGCAGCCTACAGTGTCCGTGTACTTGATACGTACCCATTTCCTAAAGTTCGGATTCACTCCCATCTTTGCCATGCTCGCATTAAGGAAGGCCCAATTGACCTGATCATACGCCTTCTCAAAATCGAAGAAAAATATTGTTGTGTTAGTCCTTTTTCCCCTGACTTTGCTGGCCGCCCTGTTGAGGGTAAGTATGTTGTCCAAGATGTACCTTCCGGGAATGAAGCCTGTTTGGTCTATGTGAAGACATTTGTCAGTCAGATCGAGGATCCTGAAAGCCGAGGCTTTGACCAGGATCGTGTAGGGAAATGTCAGTAACGAAATAGGTCTATAATTTCTTATGCGTTTTTTATCGCCTTTTTTATACAGCAAAGTAACCACGCTGCTACTCAGCAGGTTCCCTAACTGTGGCATACTGCGTAGCCACACGGGCCCTACAGGGCCCGTCCCAGACAGTCAGCCTAAAAGCCTAAAACTTAGGGCTTACAGGCCCCGGAGACATTTCAGCCTGACAACCGAATTCAGGCCCTACAGGCCCTAAAACGGTTGCCAGACTGAAGCCTAAAACTTAGGGCTTACAGGCCCCGGAGACATTTCAGCCTGACAACCGAGTTCAGGCCCTACAGGCCCTAAAACGGTTGCC